ACAAATAATGTAGGATTCCAGGTTGACAGTATTCATCTTCCTTTAACACCTTGTGTTTGGCTTGTATTGCTGCTGCTGAAAAGTTTACTGTCAATAAGAGAGAAACAAAACCTGGAAAAGAGAGCATATACAATGCTATACAGAAACATGTTGGTCAGTCAAAAAAGTCTTGACTGAAATAATTGCTATGATACTAACAACCATCACAATGAAAATTTGGAACGTTAGTGATACTATGACAAAAGAATTAAAAAAGAAAAAGTGGAATTTGTAGAAAACATTAGTGTCCTACTGTTCTAGTTTTCTGGGATATGTAAAATCCTGTCTTCCTCAGTTATAAAGTAACTATTCAGCTGAGGTGCCAATTAGCCCCTTATTTCTCTGATCAAAACTTAATATAAAATCAGCCAATCAAAGTCATTAATTTTGATATAGCAGCATTGATGGAGTTGGATTAGTTAAGAGATGAGGGATGTTAAAAGATAAACTGAGGCATATTAAAAATTTTTCAGAGTTTATTTGAACAAAACTCGATTTGAATCCAACAGCACCAAACCGGAAGTGGTTAGGAGCACTCCATCAACAGGAGCCAGGGGAAAGACTCCTATGGAGAAAGTGTGGAAGCAAAGAAAGGAATCTATTTGATTGGCTATAGCTAAAAGCCTAGTTAGGCTATCTGTGATTGGTTGTCCTTAGCAATTTGATCTCATAACCTTGAGGTATTTACAGGCTTAGGTTTTGGTTTGATTATGTAGGCTGCCGAGGCATTAGAGCGGCCACAGTCTAATGGTCTCCTTGTCTAATTAATTTAACAGGGGACATCAGAAAAGATCACTGATGTTGACACAGGATTCCTGCTGGGATGATACTCTAAGGTGAGGGCTGGCAACCTTTTTAAAGGGCCAGGTAGTAAATATTATCCGTACTATCCATACTGTCTCTGTCACAACTACGCACTCTGCCATTGCAGCAGTGAAACAGCCACAGACAAAGTGTCAATGTATTGTCTAAATGTATTTTCTAGACCCTAATATTAAAAGTACAAATGAACATAATTGTTTCATATGAATAGCTAAAAAGTAGGGAGGCCTGTCTAGGCTACTTAAAAAATAATAAAGTAAAAGCCACAAGAAAGAACAACTTGATATCACAACCAAACCAAAAAAAGAAAATATTGAACAAATCTGCAGTATAACCACATGTATCACTGTAAATGGGAAAAAAAATTAAAAAGCCTTCTAAATAAAATGCTAGCAGTGTCTTAACTGTGTTAAGAGAAAAATCAGTGACCAAGTAGGTCATTTCTGGAATGCAAGAGTGGGAAATATGTCAGTATAATTTATCTCTGGTAAAGGAATAAAAACCATGTAATTGTCTTCTTAAGTGTTGCTAAAAGGCATTATATTAAAAATAACTCTGTCAAACATTTTTCAAAGTTTGATAAAATAAAACCTTCTTACTAAACTAGAAAAAGAAGGATTCTTGTTTAGCATAATAAAGACTATCTCAACTCAATACACCTCATGAGTGACACATTGAATTAAATCTCTTTAACGTCAGGGAAGAAAACAGGTGGCTCAGGACAATGTTTAACACTGTCCTTGAAGTTACAGTCAATACAATTAGATGAGGACAATAATGAGACATATATTTTTTTAGTTAACGTTGTTGTTATCTACCAAAAAAACAACCAAGAAAAACAACCAAAAAGTATTAATATTATTAGAAGGGATCATTCTAAAATAAGCCTTTAAACTTCAATAGCTTTCCTACCTATCCTAAAAGCAACTGGAAGATATAATTAAAAGATTTCACTTTAAAAGCAGCAAAAAGATACAATATTCAGGGACAAACATTTTTAAAAGATAAAAATATATAGGAGATATTTAAAGAAAACTAAGAATTTATAGCATTCAAATTTTGAGCAAAATTAAAGTCATCAAAAAAGACATTTTTAAAAGTCATTAAAAAGTCATCACTAAGTTATTATGCATGTTTGTTATCTTATGCTCTAATTTTCTGGATATTTAAACATATCATAAAAAAGAAATCTCTTGCTGGAGTGTGATGGATAGCTAGCTAGCTAGAGGAAATCACTTAAAAATTATTCTACATCTATCCAATAAAGTATTATAAAAGAAATAAAATCACATTATGAAATAACATTCAATAGTACAGAAATAAAATGAAAAAATAAAATTCTTTATAAAATTTATAAAAATAAGTTTCTTCTCTATATAATCAGGAAAAAAAAATAAATTTTTTATTGAAGTATAATTGACTTACAATATCATATTGGTTTCAGGTTTACAACTTCATGATTCAACATTTGTATGCATCGCCTAGTGATCACCACAGTAGGTCATTACCATCGGTCACCATATAAAATTAATACAGTATTATTGACTGTAGTCCCCATGCTGCACAATACATCCCCGTGACTTACTTATTTTATAACTGGAAGTTTGTACCTCTTGATCCCCTTCACCTCTTTCAACCACCCCCCAACGCCCCTCCCTTCTGGTAACCACCAATCTGTTCTCTGTATCCATGAGTCTGGTTTAGTTTTGCTTTGTTTGTTCTTTTGTTAAAAATGGTAAATTTTCTTTAGAAAATATATAAATGGAAAATGAAAGTTTTGGTCAGCAAGTGGTATTGGAAAAATTGCTTGACTATTTTTAGAAAGTCAATTTCACTTCATATTTCACTTCAGATAAATTATATATTCAATAAACTGTAAAATCTAGGAAATGAAACTATCATAAATGTTTTGAAAATATGTAAAGTAAATACTTATCAGAAGAGAGAGGATTTTATAAGCTTGAAGATGAGAAAATAATCATAGACAAAAAATGAACAAATTTGACTATGTAAAATACTTTACCTATAGCATGAAATGTAACCAAAATAAAAGCTGGAGAGACTATGCAGTAAACATAACAATGGACTAATAACTTTATTACATAAAGAAATTATACAATTGTTAAGTAAACACTAAGACCCTACTTAATACTTTATTAAATGTAACAAGTAGGAGCCAGCCCGGTGGCGTAGTGGTTAAGTTCACCTGCTCTGCTTCAGGGTGCCAGGGTTCATGGGTTCAGACCCCAGGTGCAGACCTGCACGCTGTTCATCAAGCCATGCTGTGACAGTGTCCCAGATAAAAATAGGGGAAGACTGGCACAGATGTTAACTCTGGGACAATCTTCCTTGCCAAATAAAATAAAATAAAATAAAATAAAAGCAACAAGTAGAAAATTCACAAAACTTGTCAACTATTTAATAAGTATATGAAAATTATCAACTTGCTCTCAATTAAATGAAAATTTAAATAGTAAAGATATAGGTTATTGAATTATCAAGTATTTTCTCAAATTCTAATATATTGTGTCAGCAATTATATAGCTAAATTGATAAGATCAATCATTTGAGATAGCCATGTTAATTAGAATTTTTAGTTAGAAAGCTATTTCAATGTACAAACAAAGAATTTTAAAAATATTCAAACCTTCGACCTAATAAATCCACTGTTGAGACATATGTAAGGCAGTACTCCTAAATGCAGAAAACACATTAAGAATCTAAGTGTTTACTTCAGAGTTATTCACAAGACACTAGAAGCAACCCAAACATCAACTAGAATCACTATACCAGAAAACTGGCAGGACTTGAAGTGTAGGCCCAGTTTTTAAAAGAAAAAAGAAAGCAGTTGAAAATACAAATCAAAACACAGTGCTGCCTCTTATTTAAATTCCAGTTTAGTAAAGAAGCATGTACTGACAATGATTTATGCTAAAGTGATAGCAAGCAGACACAGCAAATAAGGAAGGGGAACTGAATTACTCTTGAATTCCCCCACCCAATCGTGGAAGAATTGGTGGAAAGAGAAATTTAATTGATGCATAATGGATCCCCAAATGGTCACATTTAAGAGTTAAATTTTGATTTGTATTAAAATTTGGATTTCTGCAAGTCAGTTATGCTACCCAGAAGTTTCGAGGTTAGCGGAATTTTTATTAAGATATCCATACACTACAGTGAGATTTCTTTCTTTATGATATATTTCATATACCCATGAAAGGAGAAAGAATAATATTACAAATATATATAAACTCAACACCTAGAATGAATAAACATATTTGGACACATTTTCTGCAGACATTTTTAAAAGAAAATACTATACACTATTAGAGTCTCTTAATATTCTTCAATTCTAGTCCCTCTCCTCAGAGTCAACGACTATTCTGATGCTTTGGGTTTTCTTCCAAACATGTTTTAATACTCTCCTACATATCTAGTACATCACATAGCCGTGAACTTCCAAACGACTTTTAGATTTGGTTAATCAAATTCCACATAATATGCATTTAGTGGTCTGATTTAAATTATATTGAATTTAAAATGGGCATTTTTCTACTTTATATTTTTCCATTCATGAATATGGCTTATTTATTCATCTATTTGTCTCCTCCAACATTTTTTAGTTGGCTTATTACTGGTTCATGGTATAATTTTAATGTTTTCATATTGGTCTTGTAAACAGTTACCCAGCTGATCTTTCTTACTAGTTTAAATGATTTGTCTGTAGAGTGTCTTAGATTTTGTGTCTTATTGGAAATTATATGTAATTTCTTTTTCTTCTATTTCCCTATCTAAAATCTCCAGTAAAGCATGAATAGAAGTGGTAAAATGGGAACATTAGTGAGAATTTAAGTTCAACAGCTATAACAGAGATCAAAAGGAAATCAGTGGTTTTGGGACTGGCCTGCTGGCCGAGTGGTTAAGTTCACCCGTGCTGCTTCGGTGGCCCAGGGTTTCACAGGTTTCGATCCTGGGCGTGGACGTGGCACAATCATCAGGCCACACTGAGGCAGCATCCCACATAGCACAACCAGAGATGCTCATAAATAGAGTAGACAACTATGTACTGGGGGACTTTGGGGAGAAGAATAAAAAGAAAATAATAGAAATCAGTGGTTTAAATAAAATACAATGCTTACCAGGATTGGTGTAATGACTCCATGGTGTCAGAGACCAAGGTGGTTGTTTCTAGTTGCTCTGCCATTTTTAGGATGTTGCCCTCATCCACATGTTTCCAGACGATTCACAGGTGTCCAGCTTAGTAGGCAGGAAAGCCTAAGATTCAGGGAGATATGGTCCCTCCCTTTAAAAATGTGTCCTAAAAGTTACACACATCACTTCCAAACTTCTTCCAAAATGGACATAGTCATACTTGTTTGCCAAAGAGACTGGGCCTTGTGGGCAGCTATAGGCCCACTTTAAATCAGTGATTATTACTGCAGAAGGAGAGAACAGCTATTGGAAGCATCCTTGTCATTTTATAGGTCTCATAGACTGCTTCTGACATTTTCCCCTCTCAAGAATGTTTGAAGAAGTCACCTCTTACAACTAATTATTTTAGCTTTTTATCATGAATAAATGATTCTACTGTACCTATTGAGATGATCACAGTTTTTCAGCTTGCTAATGTGGGATATTTCATTAATAAACATAATGGTAAATATTTCTTGCATTCCTATAATAAGCCATACTTAGCCAAAGTAAATTATTTAAAAATATTTCTGGATTTGATTTGCAAGCATTTTGTTTATGATTTAGCTTCTATTTTCTTAAGTGTAATTAATTTTTAATTTTATTTTTTTGTATTGCCCTTACCTGATTTTGGTGTCAACCTTATACTAATATCAAACTTTGGTTGGGTAACTTTGTCTGTTTTAACTTATTCTCTGAAAGTCTGTGGGATACACATTATTAATTCCTTGAAAATTTAGTAAAATTCGTAGAACAATTTCAGCTGGATCCTTTTTGGGCTAGTTGGTAGGACGGGAGGACGTTTTTACCAATTTTATTTCTTGTTTTCTGTTGTGTCTTAAGGAATATTGGAACTTATATTTTTTTCTAAAACAATCTCCATTCATTTTTGGTTTTAAAATTTATTAGCTGTAAAGTTGTTCTAGTATTTTCTTATTTTTTTTTCAATTCTACAAAAACTGTGCTTATGTTGCTTTTTCATTCTAGGCAATTTATTTGTACCTTCTCTTTTTCTGTTTGATCTGTTTTGTCAGTATTTTTCTATTATATTGTTGTTTTCAAAAGACCCATGTTTTGCCTTTATTAATAATTTGTTGCTCTTTGTTTTCTATGTAATTATATACAAGAGAAAAGAATTATATAAGGGGAAGGGAAATTAAATTGCAGTCGAGCTTCTTGCAATAAACACAATCTTTCAATCTTCCCTATTTTCTAAAATGTCTATTTAATGTGATAAATTACCCTCCAGGAGCATCACACAAATTTTAATAAAGGGTACTTTTATTGTTGTTTGCTTCTAAATCTTTTATAAGATAAATTATAACATATTGTTTAATATATGAATTATTTAGAAGCGTATTTTTTGTTCGTTTTGAATCATATGCTTTTGGACATCTCTTTACATTTGATTTCTAATTACATTGCATGTAGGATCAGGCCATGTGATTCTTATGATATCGTGTCCTTGGAATTTATTGAGACTTTTTAGTAGACTAATATGTTGCCAATTTTTGTACTTTTTAATGTTCATTTGAATGAAAGTATATTCTTCAAGGGGGCAATGTCTATATATGTTTACCTGATTGAATTTTTAACAATATTTTTAAAGTCTTCTATACTCAAATTATTTTTTTAGATTCCTGTTATCTAACAGTTTCTTAGATAGAAGTGTCAAAAATTTCTACTCTAACAATGGAGAAACCTGGCAGATACGACCTTAACCAATTTTCCAAACTTAAATCACTTGTGATGAAACATATCACATCACGTATCTCCTGATACAATAACCTGACAACAACAACATCACTTCTGTGGGATTCTTACCAAGAATGTATAACCTCAATGTAGTCATGAGAAAATATCAGACAAACCCAGACGGAGGGGTATTCTACATATAATTGATCAATACTCTTCCAACGTGTTAAGGTCATGAAAGACAAAGAAAGAATGAAGAACTATCCCAGACTGGAGGAGACCAAGACAGAAAAACCAAATATACTGTGGGATTTTTGATTGGATCCTGGACCATAAAATGGACATTAGTGGGATAACTGACAAAATTTGAATAAAATCTGTATATTAGTTAATAGTACTGTATTGTTGTTAATTACCAGTTTGATCATTGTACTATGGTTAGGTAAGGTGGTAACATTTGAGGAAAATGGATAAAGAATATCTAGGGACTCTGTGAAATATTTCTGTAATTTTTTGTAAATCTAAAATTATATCAACATAAAAAGTTTATAATTTTTTCACTAGAATTATGAACTTTCATTTTTTACCTCATAATTATATAGGCCTTTGCTTTAGGTTTCTTTGAATATTATTATCAACTAAATAAAGGATATTGACCTATTCTTGCAGATGAATAATCACTGCGTAAATCTTTTTTTCTATTCTATCCTGATCTAGTCAGGATCTCATAAAGAAAGAAAGACCACACTATACAGAGAATCTGTAGAACAGATGCTGGAGGGTTGAAAGAATTTGAGGTAACCCAGAGATAACAACTGTGCAGTTACTGTCTTTAGGACTGAGGGTGCTAGAGGGAAGGAATGGACTTTCTAGAACCTGTAAACTCAGAAAAGCTACCTCGTGGAAATGGAGCTTAGACTGCTAATAAAAGAGGCATGACAAGACTGGTTCTGGGAGTGCTGAAAGAAGCTGGAAGCTGAAGATGACACTGATGGAGCAACAAGGACAGAAAAAAGAATAGGAAGTCCCTTGTCCTTTTCACTCTCTCTCTAGTGCCACCTGTAACTTAATGGACACCAGCTGGGGAAGTCACCTGGGGAAGTAGTTTGCAGAATCCCAGTACTAATGTCACAGAGCAAATATACAAGGGCAGATTTGGAGTAATGAGACAATAGGCAAATAATGGCACACCGTGAATGCTTTCCTTCAAATCTGGCTTTCCCAATATTAAAATTATAACACTAGCTTTGTCTTAATGCTTGCCTGATATACCTTTGTCTTTAAGAATTTTTTATTTTGTACCATCCAAATACATTTCTATTTTAGCAGCGAAGTTTATTTTCATTAACGTTTAATGTTATTGATGATATATGTCCAATCATTTTTTAACTTTATTTTTTTATTTACCATATCTTTTATGAAACCAACTCTATCTTTTCTTTCCACCTCCTATTAGATTTATCAAATTTTATTTATTCCCATAATTTTCCACCACTAGTCTGGAAAGTTTACCTTCTGTTTGTATTATTTTAGTGGTCATCTTCCCCTCCTCTACAACGTATACTTATTCTAAATAAGCCTCCTCTACCTAAGCTAGTCTGTAACTCTATCCTCCTCTTAAATCATGCAAGCAACATAGAATACTTTAGCTCCATACCCTTCCTCCCATTGTCCATGTGATTGCTATTTTCTCCTTTTCAAAAAAATTCACTCCTCAAATTTATCTTTCATTTTTACAAATTGATTTTAGTCATAAATTTCTTTGCATGTGTTTGTTCAGATTCAGTTTCCTTCTTGTAATTATTCTTTCTGCAAGAACGTGTGTGTATTACCTGTGTTGATGATGTGTGAAAATGTCTTTATTTCATATTGTCATATTGGATGACAATTTATCAGAGTTACAAATTCTAAGGTAAAAGTTGTTTTATTTCTCTTAGTACTTTGATGTGCTGACATTTTACATCAATGCATCTAGGTATATATTTTATTTTTCTTTTTCTTGTATAGGACTCAATGGACTTCAAAACAAAAGATTCACCTTTCTTAACCTCTGGAAAATTATTAAATATTAGCTATTTGAATATTGCCTTTTCTCCATTCTATATATTCTCCCTTTTTGGAATTCTTAGTAGACACATATGCAAGCTTATCATTCTGGCCTCCAGGTTTTAACTTCTATTTCATATTTCCCATATTTGGTTTATATTTATTGTGTCCTTAGTGATTTTTCTCATATTTCATGTCTTCTAATTCACTGTTTATTTTCACCTGTATTTAATTTGCTGTTTAACCTTTTAATTTCAATTACTATATTTTTATTTTCTAGAATTTCTCTTTGGCTGCTTATTAAGATTACCCACTTCAAATAAAGGGACACCACTACAGACATTAAAAGCTAATAAAGGAATATCAATTCTTCCCATAAATTTGACAACATAGATCAAAATGGGCAAATTATTTTAAAGACACGAATTGCCAAGGCTCACTCAAAAAGAAATGGACAACCTAAAAGCTACATTATCTATTAAAGATATTAAATTTGCAGTTACAAATATTCTAACCAAGAAAATTCCAGGCTCAAATGGCTCCACTGGCAAATTCTACCAAAGAATTAAGGAATAGATAATATCAATTCTACACAAACTCTTCTTTAATGTGGAAGAGGAGGAAACATTTACTAAGTTATTTTATGAGGCCAGCAAAGTCATACAAACAGATTGCAAGAAAATTACAAACAGATGTTCCTCATAAATATAGACAGAAATATCCTCAACCAAATAATAGCAAATTAAATCTCGCAATATACAGAAAGGACAATACACGATGACCAAATGAGACATCCTAGAAATGCAAGACTGGTTAAACATTTGTAAATTTGTAATTCACCATATGAACAGACTAAAAATGAAAAAAGATACTAACATTTCAATAGATGCAGAAAAAGAATTCATTAAAATTTAACGTCCAAATGTGATTAAAAAAAAAACTCTCAAACTTGGAATTGAAGAAAATTTCCTTAATCTGATAAAGAACATTTACAAAAAATTTACAGTTAACATCACATGTACTAGTGGAAACAGTGAATGATTTTCCCCTAAGATCAGAAATAAAGTGAGAATGTTCTATTTTCATCCCACATATTCAAAATCATACTGAATGTCCTAGCTGACATTACACATTGCTGGTGAGGATGCCGAATAACTAGAATCACTCATATGTTACTGGAGGGGAACGCAAATTGTTACAGCCTCTCTGGAAGATGCTTGAACATGTCTTATAAAGTTAAACATACACTTATCATATGACTCAGCCCGACTCGTATGTATTTATCCGAGTGAAATGGCAATTTATGTTCACGTCAAAACATATATGTAAATATTCATAGCATC